AGTTATTTGTACAATGATTTTCGGTTGTTGTGTCCACAAGCATAACGTAGTCAAAGGATTAAACTTTAATTTAAATAAATGTTTCAAATCTCCGAGCAATAGTTTATTGGGTACTCTTTATGAATTTGAACAACGATTTTGGGTTGCTGTGCCCAAACGCGTGAATCGAATCAAAAACCTTTTACACACACTTGTAGACAACAGTTCACGTTTTATTACAAAAATAAAATTTACTATGTCTGTGCACTAATTTATTAATAATGTCGGTTGGAAATATGGTATTTTTTGCAAGTTTCCGAGCTGAGCAGTAAAAAAAAAAAATATCCACAAAATATCTCTGCAAAAGGTGTTCAGCCCCTCTTAAGCAAAACAGAAAGGAACATTCTACTTAGTGAGGGTTATAATCCCTAAGCGCGGCCGAAGGCCGCCTAAGCAGAAAGGTATTCTCTGCAAAAGGTGTTTAGCCCCCCTTCTTTGGCAACACAAAAAGGAGAATTCTACTGCCTGAGGGTTATAATCCCTAAGTGCGGCCGAAGGCCGCCTACGCAGAAAGATGCTCTCTGCTAAAGGTGTTCAGCCCCTCTTCTTGGGCAACAGAGAAAAGAGTAGTGAGGGTTTTAATCGTTTCGGAAAAAATCCAAATTTCCGCTGTTTTCAAACAGCTCCCAAGGGGTATTTAGGGGGGGAGGGGCGTGAGGGGTGACTTTTTATAAAGCGGCGTCCATCCTCTTTCGTTTAGGGGGGTTTGGGGAGCCACGCCCCCTTCCCCTCCATCCATTCATCGATTTTAACACCCCTATTCTGCAACTCTTTCGTATTCGGATATTGCTACGAATCGTAGAAATAGTATGCTGCAATCCGAATCGTATTTTCGAACTTTCGAAATTCGTAACAATGACATGACCAAAAACGAACGAGTAAGCTTTTTCGCGTAATTTTGTACGAAAACAATTTTGTGTCGGAGGCTAAATAAAAGATGTAAATCAATGTGTTTGCAAGAAATATTGGTGGTGTTCATTTAAACAGATAAATTTGCCTTTCGCATATACGTATATTTTTATCCCCTGTTTTATATAAACAAGCAAATAAGAATCTTTGTTGCCCCTTATCGAGAAACTTGGGTCCCGCTTAGTTATTTGTACAACGATTTTCTGTTGTTGTGTCCAAACGCATAGCCCGAACCCAAAAACTTTAACATGCACGTGTAATAAAAGGATTCATATTTTTTTAAGATAAATGTTTCAAATTTTCTACCACTAGCTTATTAATAAACTCGGTTTGCACTATGCACTTTTTTGCAAATTTCGACGTGGGTTCTGCGCAAAAATACTGTGGACGGCGTAGCCGGAGTGATATGCACAAGAAACCTTTGACATGCGGAAGCCCCTCTTCCCCGCAACACAGAAAGGTGAATTCTACTTAGTAAGGGTCATAATCCCTAAGCGCGGCCGAAGGCAGAAGCAAGCGCAACAGGTGGTGGACCTAAAAAAGTGCATGTTTACAATGGCTTGGAGGAAGCTGTTATTGCATTAACTGGATTGAGGCTCAACAATTCAACCAGAAGCTGACATAGATGCGCCCTTGGTTACTATGCCCGGCAGCTCCGCATACCTTTGTGAGTCCATTGCCATAGCGCGCTCTTACTCCGCTGCTATAACTGCAAATGCATCAGAATCCATAATTTTCCTCAAAATATTGAAAATCAATAAATTTTACTATAAACAAGCACATGATGAGTGCTTTTTTAATTCCTTTCCACTTTGTTTTCCTTCATTCAGCTATCTTCGAAAAACAACTCATAGCTGGCAATGCTGCACATGTTTCCGCAAGGGTTGCAGCATGTGGGTTTTTCGTTTTTCGTAGCGTAGCTACGAATTACCAAAAATTCGGCTTCTAGAATAAGGGGGTAAATTATGTTCTGGCAGCATAAACTCATCGTAGAGTATCTGTAAGAGTCTTTATTACGAACGGATTCAATGAAGGCTCTCTACAAATTTCGAAGTTCGTAGCTATTCGGATTCAGTGATAGCACTTTCGTAAATTCACGAAAATCGAGCCTCCGATGCATTCTGTGATTGCTCTGATTAATTTCGCCAGGTGTCTTAAACTATGTTCACATATCAATATTATCCCAATCAAAGCTCGTTTTTTAATCACCCCGTTTACACAGGCAAATCTCAGATTATTAGCCGTCAAATTTGTTGTGCTTGTTATTCTCACATCTCAAGGAAAAGTTATGTTTCTTCTCTGTGCCACTGTGATCACGTTTTGATGCTATAATAAGCCATATAAATATATTTTAACTTAACATTTTATTAAAAATACCTTTACAAACCTCTTGCTAGCGTACATTTGTTTACTTTTACATTTGGCATTTCTCCTCTTTTTTGCAAAAACAATCGATAAAACTAGGATGGACACCGAAAAGTTATCGGTTTAATCTGAGATTATTTTATAATTACAGATTAACAAGGGACGAATTTTATATGGCTAATCTCTTGTTATAATTACAGATTAGGGTATTAAGCTCGTAAATGAGGATAATCTACTTATATGTGAACCTAGTATTAGTTTATGGCATTAAATGCTGTAAATGCTGTGGTGGTCCTGTGCACTTTAAGAAGCCATGTTGATGGGTAAGAGATTAATAAAAACTGCGAGTTAATTAATTTGTGTCAAATATATGGAACAAAATGTACCTTTTATTTTTCGGTTTAGTTTTTCATACATTTGCCACAGTATATTTGCATTCAAGTTACACACATATATTGCATATTGTGAGTGATTATTTATAAAAGATTTAACACAAATCAACTAAATATAGATTTTTAACTATAACACAAAACACAATAAAATCTTGACTTCAAAGTCACAGAAAAACTAAATGTATTTTTTATAAAATAAACGATACAAAAATATGCATACATAAATGTTTCTCAGTTCTGTTGTAGTTAAGAGTCACTGCACAAGCTTTTATTCAACGAATTTATGACTTTTGCAGCGGTCAACGCACACTCAAAAAAAAGATACATAAGTATATATATATCGTCACCTGAAATGCAAAATAACTGACATCAGCGTAACAGTGGCTACACACGACGAACATGTGCGCGCACACGCTCGGCTTGTGCGGCGGTTCACGAGCATCCTCGCAAAAAATCAAAAAATTTTGGTTTTCAGCGACCATGCTCGTCGTTTGTAGCGTGGTTTGCGAGCATCGCATTGGAAACAAAAACAACAACCTCATTTTGTGTTGATGCTTGAAATGTGCACTTCGGCGGATAAATGCATCCAAGCCATGTTCGTTAATTGCATTTTTGAGAAATGAGGCTAAATTACTATAAGTATATGTATGTACATACATACAAGTAAAATATAAATAAATTTAAGTAACACATACATAAGTTAAAAGCATTGCAATTGCATCATCCGCGTCTTTGCTAATCATCTTTACGCTATCACGACAAAATGAGCCGCTCATCGTCTGTGGCAAACGACAGCGAGCATGTTGGCGCACATATGCGCGCAGATGTTGCGTTGCGTGTAGGCAGTCTAACTGAAATGCAAAAAGTCGTATAAAATATTCAAAATTCACTTTTTGATTGCTATGATGGATTTCATCAAATTACAACTCCGCACATCGTTTTATGAAAGAAGAAAAAATTAGTCACGACTTTTTCCACTTCAGTGGCGATGTTGTTCCGTTATTTTGCATTTCAGGTGACGGTATATAGATATTAACGCGTTTTTATATTCCACATTCGCTACTAACTCGTGAAAAATGTTCTTAGCCTATTTGCCCTTCTGCGAAGTGTTTCTTTTTTGCCTTATCAAACTTTATTCAACAACCGTTGTAAATCTGCGAAATTCAGCTCCCTCTTTTTTTGTATACTATTATTTAATACCATATGTATGTATGTATTTATATTGGTACATATTTTTATGAAGGTATACGAGATTTTTAAATATATGTATAAACCTTAGTTCTGTGTTCTATAAGATTAAGGATTGGATCTCATTAGTGAAACACGATTTCTACACATTTTTATGGGTTTCCAGCAATCGCTTCGTTTTATTCCTAAACATATTCGTTGCGCACCGATGCGGTGTGGTAGTATCAGAAGAAAGGCTTCGTCGATTCCTTTAGATTGGAAAGTCCCTTGGCATTTCCTACTAGCGTCAAAGAGAAAAAAATTAAATTTGTGTTTTTGAAGATCGACCAAATTCGCTAGCGATTTAGATCCAATCAATAAGAAAAAATCTTATCTGATTTGTGCACATCAATGTAATATTCGATATAAGTCACGTGTAAGCAGCTTTTTTGCTTTTGAAAGCAAAATTTCCAAATTTGGCATTCTGCTAAAATTTGCAACATTTTTAATTAAAACAAACTCTTGGTAGGTACAATTTTTAACATTCTCAAATTCACATTTCTAGATTCACTAAATAATTATAAAATATATTCCATGCTTTAATTAATATTTACCTTTTGTATATATGTATGTATGTACATATGTATATGTATATATTTGCGTTAAGTTAAAAAAATATACATATTTTTTAGTCCGCAATAAGTTTAAATTTCACACTCAAATTCGTATTTGAAAATTTGGGGTTAGTTATTTGTTAAACAATAAAACAGGAGGCACATAAGGGAACCAAAGGATTATAACTTTGATTAATTTTACTTCCTAAGTAAACAGGCTTACAATACGTCTAGAAAAATTTAACAATGAAAAAGAATCGACAAGAAAATAAAAATAACACAGAAATACTTTTAGTCCATCAATCCACTACCATATCTAAGTTTATGAAAGGAGACAAAAAACAACAATATGATGACGTCCCTAAAAAGTTTAATTGTAAGAATAAACAATCGAGTTAAACGTTTTCAAGTTCTGTTTAGATTTGACTAATAATTTTCTAGATCAGAACAAAAACGATTACTTCGTAAGAGTAACAATTTAATCAAGTTGAATAAACTCAGCTTAGAGTAACGTTTCAACTGTAAAATTTTGGAAAAAGGCGCTCTGCTGTGCATCCACGAAACTTTAGTTGTCAGCCTAGCGGTACACGTAACAAGGTAGGATGAATGCGTTTAAACGCAAGTTGGTGTGTGAGACACGGTAGCTTCTATATTAGAATCCTTGCTGCGGCAACACATCTCACATATTCGTTTCGTATCGGGATTGAGAAAAGTGCAAAACCGGCAACTCCATTCGCTTGGGCCACTTATTTGTGGTTGAAGGTTTCCAACTTCCGCAGCGGCTTGCTTTCGATTCTTCAATCGCACGATTCCGTCCGGTTGCGCTTCGCCGTTGCCATTATTATTGTCGATTGTTGAAGTTGTGAGCAAATTCGAAGTTAGCTTTAAGGCAGACTTCGTTTTTTTCCCTGGCTGTTGATGTTGCTGTTTTAATATGGATTTTTCCTGTTTGCCCAACTTTTTCTCATCACGCTTTTCACCGTCCGTACGCGCTTTGCCTAGATCATTTGTAATTTGTCGGCCGGATTTAGCCGATTCTATGTGATTTAAACGGCGCCGTTCAACGGGAGCTTTTCCGCCGTTGCAGCTTCCCCCGCCACCATTCGATAAATTCATTGAATCCAAATCTAAACCCTGAACAAGAAGATCACCCCGTTCGCCTAAATCTTTTGAATAGCCAGATCGCTCTAGGTTCTTAAAAACATAGTTCCATGATTCGAAGGAGCCAACACCATCCTGGTTTTTAGACGCTTGTGTTGGCGAGCGTTGCGTAGGATGTTCGCTGTGGCACACGGTGACGAAATCATCAAAATTCGAATCAAAGCTCATTTCCGAAGCTTCATTGGTATGAGTAGATATTTTCCTTCGATTACCAGCTCCAGATATTCCGTTGAGCGAAGTGGTACTATCTTTCAATTCCATGGTCTGCAGATGTAATTGCTTGTCATTATTGTCAAGTACATCCTGAAGAAAGGGGGAGAGACAGTCATATTATTAGTGCAAGATTTTTTATTTATTTATTGAAATTCAAATTTTAAACTAAAGGGAGCATTTACAGCTGTGAGTGCTTTTTTGAAATGTTCTTCTGTTTACAATATCAACATGGAGGGAAGCTTCGCATGCATCATGACATAAATTAAACGTTTTTGAAATTCTATTGCAACTAAAACTTCACTTCAAGCAGATACATATGGGTGTTTCCATACAGCCGTACGCGACATTCATACGCTTATAGAGCAACGTAAATCTATCAAAAATAGAAGTTACAGAAAAAAAAAACATTACGGTTATGTTTCAACCAAAGGGTACTATGTTTGAGAAAAAAATAAGCAGCCTCGAAACTTTGGTGTGGAAAATATCCGTTCAAAACCANAGTAAATCTATCAAAAATAGAAGTTACAGAAAAAAAAACATTACGGTTATGTTTCAACCAAAGGGTACTATGTTTGAGCAAAAAGTAAGCAGCCTCGAAACTTTGGTGTGGAAAATATCCGTTCAAAACCAGGTGATAACGTACGCGACAAAAAAAGAAGTGGTTTTAAATTACATATACATATATGCGAAAGTCTGCGAATCATGAGAGTTTTTCTTTTCTTTAAAAATTCCTAAACTAAGCTAAATAATGTACCTTTACAATTTTCCATTTTTTGATAGAAATTATCTCTGGTTAGTTTTTATTAAAAAAAAATTTTAATAACGTACGCGACATAACGTACGCGACAGACTTTTCCCGCATACACTATTTTTACTAGTAACACATACTAAATTAATTTTTTTCAGTTCTTCTCTCNGTTTTCCCGCATACACTATTTTTACTAGTAACACATACTAAATTAAATTTTTTCAGTTCTTCTCTCCACCGTTTCGCATTTTCAAAACCATTTTCCGCCATCTGAATACGAAATTTAAAGTTATAAAGCCGTTTGAATTCATTCGCTTGCATTTTCGGTTTACATTTTCATGGAAAGACGCATATATGCGAAAGTCTGCGAATCATGGGAGTTTTTCTTTTCTTTAAAAATTCCTAAACTAAGCTAAATAATGTGCCCTTACAATCCTTTCATATTTTAAGAGAAATTATCTCTGGCTAGTTTTATATTAAAAAAAAACAATAACGTACGCGAAAATTTTTCTCGTAAGTAATAAAATGTATTTATTGAGAACTCTTCTCGCCACCGTTTCATTGTTTTACAACTATTCTAAATAATTTAAATGGAAAATTTGCAATTAACATTGGTTTTGATGTATTTGATTGAAATTTTCGTACTTACAATAACGTATGCGACAAACTTTAAAGGGTAATAAAATATATTTTTACTTCGGTTGGAAAGAAAATTTTACTGTATATCTTTAACTAGAAGAATTCTCGCTTAAGAATTGTAATCTGCATTACCTGCGACTGCCAATATACAAATGACATAGACAAACAATGTTTTTGCATAACGTACGCGACATTAGAATACTATCAGAAGCAAATCAAAAAATTACCGTTATTCGAGCTCTAGCTTCTCCTTTTTCTCATTTTTATAGTTAGTTGTTATTGCAAATTTGATTTTAAGATGTAATTGTAATGTTTCAAATCTCTTAATTTAGTTAATAGGAAAGAGAAAATAGTTCATTTTATTAGAGAAAACTGAGTCGAAGAGACATTCAGTTTTACTCTTCCATTTTTGAGTTTTAAAATTCCAATAAGCTGAAATACTTCTATAATATAAAAATTCGAGTATTTTTCTCTTATTAATTCGTCTTAAAAACCCTTTTCAGTTGTTTTTATTTTTTCAGTCCTGGTTGACAATTTCATGGAAACACCCCTATGCAAACATAATACCATTTCAAAAAAGGAACGATAGTGAATTAAAAAGTCCTCAATCGTGAACCTGTCTACCAAGGCGTATTCAATACGGTGGTATCGGTACGCCAACAACAAAATGTACATGTATTTTGATATTGCTTTTGCGGCGAGGACTGTCAAAAATTTCATACCAACCAATCAACAGCAGCCATTTGACATATGAAGCCGTGAGGCGAAGGAAAATAAAAGGGTGCTGCTATCACCTGTTAAATACGCCTTGCTGTCTACATTTTCTATCTCTCTTGTTGTCTATATTAATATTGAGAGCAAGGTGTATTAAACAAGGTGTGATTGACAACTCAGGTAGGCTCTCTTTTAAGGTACTATTATGCCAAAAAATATAAACAATCGATTCAAAATTCATACAAAATTTTTTTAATTTGACTTTATAGGATGGTTCTTCTGAGAGCCATGGCAAATTCAATCACACTTTGTTGAATACATTTTGATTGAGTGTAAGTTATCGTAACGTAGAGACAGCCATGATAAAAAAAATAGGACGGTAGAGGCGCTGAGAGGGATTATTGACGTTTGCAAGCAATTTAGTTTTTAAATTTTACCCACAACCTCACACACACATTCTCATTTTCAATCTCAAACAACAACTTTGAACAATTCCTTTTTATACATTTCATGAGCATGAAATGGTATAACTTTGGTCCGCTGTTTGTAAGTACCAGAATAAGAAGAGATAGACCCATTAAAATGTATACTGAGTGATTTAGCCATGTCCGTCTGTCCGTCTGTCTGTCTGTCCGTCTGTTTGTATGCAATCTAGTCTCTCAGTTTTCGAGATATCCGGATCAAATTTGGTAGGTGGGTGTATTTTTATAATGTATTAATCATTTGTCGGAACCGGAAGAATCGGACCA